GGGGGGGGGGGGGGGGGGGTTGTTCCGGTGACAAGTGCATTAGGCACTTTCAAAGCTAATTTTACTGAGTGCAATGGTTGAAATAAGCAATAACTCACCATGCTTTGTGTGTTAAGAGTTTAAAGTTTTATGTTTTTAGGAAGACAACCTGAATTGAATTTTATGTATACGACTGTTATGGGATCAGTTATCCAGTAGCATTTTAATATAATGGGGGATATGCTTGATACCATTTTCTTCGGTAATAAAAATAACTACTATTTCTTGGCAGCTTGAGTACCATCAGAGAAAGTAGTATCTAACACAACTCTGAAAGTGTTGTGTATATATATATTGATGCATTTCCAGTATCAGTACTTACATTATGTTTGAAGAGGTGCAAATGTTTACATTTAACAATACTATAAGTTTTGTATGCCCTAATAAGGGTTAAGTCAATGTGGAACATACAATAAAATAATCAAACACAGAACATCGAAATGTATAGAATATTTGACAGTATTTTCCAAATTAGATAGCTAAGCATTCCACAAAACACCACAGGCCAATGGAAAAGTGGAAGGCTTCATAAAACCTATCGGTAAAGCTATTCGAGCGGCTTGGGCAGAGGGTCGAGATTGGCAAAGAGAACTATTCGAATTTTGGATGAAATATCGTTCTACGCCCCACCAACCTACAGGTATGGCGCCAGCCGAGATGCTTTACGTTCCGTCTTTCTCTCTGGCACCTGCCAATACAGCTGCAAAAAGGTTTTGAAAGGAAAGGCTATGTCAAAACAATATGTAGATGCCAGAACACATACAAGAAAGTCACCGATAAAGGAAGAAGACACAGTGTTGGTAAAACAGAAAAAGAAGAATAAGTATACAACCATGTTTCGTCCTCAACCATACAAAGTTATCAAGACATAATTGAAGATAGGTATCCTTTAAGAGCAAACAGAGGCGTACCGCCAGATTTTCATGGACGGTAAATAACTGTGATAGTTATTTGTATACATAGCTGTGTTATCAATCGTAGCATGGACTACAGGTTTTAGTTCACATTACCGGTTCACTTAGAGCTATTTGTTGTGAGAGAAAGAGGGAGATATTATGTTGGTGTTACATGAAGTATAGAACGTTGCATCAGGGGGTCGGGGACGATTGGAAGTGAGCACATGTGTGTAGGTTTTATATTTTGGGACGTTGAAATAAATACCGATTTTGAAGACATAACAAAATTGACTTAATTTAATTAATTTAAGAAAATATTTCGTTGACAACAATATTGTGAACTTTGTTCACTTTGCCTATTTGGCAGCGATAGAAAATCTTCATATTATCGTCTTACTTTGATTGGGTTTTTTGGGAGAAGAAGGAATTAGCTCCCCACTACCTCCTCCCCTACAATCGCGTTCAAAAATAATGAGATTTTTGATATTTCGTTCTATTTCTGTGATTACTTGCTCCCCTTCTCCCCCCCCCCCCCCCCCTCCCCCCTTTTCAATGTTCAAAAAATATTTGACTGACAATATACCTTTCTATCGTTTGTCCAACATTATGGCTAATTGAGCTTCAAAGGATTTAAGAGTAGTTAAAACACTACATTAGATTTTTATGGCTAATTAGATATGTCCTGCTAAATCGCCAAGTATTTTAATAGATTGTATTTAGCCCACAGCTGACTTTGCTTGTCTATTTTCCCAAAGATTTGTCTCTAGTAAGAAAATGCATAGTAAATGCAAAGCTTCTTTATTTTTGTCCACATTACCAGAAATATGGGACAAGATGGCGACGGACATGCGCACTTTGACCAAATATGGCGACCAAATATTACTATAAACTATATGGGAGTTGATCAAAATATCAAATTTTAATATACTTTGTTTAAATATTTCATGGTTGCGGAGCTCGATTATAGTAGCGACACGAACAAGCAATATTTCTAAACAAAAATCGCTAGTATTGCACCGCGTCTAGCAGGTTCCTGAGAATGTTGTATTTTTACACGCAATTTGATGAATTTCATAGTGCGTGTAATTTATAGTAAACTTCTGACACAAGAGGTAAATATCCGACGAATAGACCAACATCCATTCGGGCGATGAAAAGTGCGGAGCTCGCAACATATTTAATGATGTCCAAACTGTTAATTTAGCTGAATAAATCCGCTGCACTTCCCAGGGAAACTGGTTCCCGAAACGTTTAAAAGTTCGCCTTTTTACGGTTCTTGTATGTCGCCATTAGGCCATCTTAATATCCGAAAACGACAAGTTTTAATACAAATTTGAGCTGTTTCGAGCAGCCATGTTTGTTGTTTATTTTAAAAGACTAGATCCCAGGCTCTCACATAAAAACACAGGGATATTTTAGGATTTGTTAGGATATTTGCAATATTTTTAGTCTTCATAAAAATTTGCGGGGTTAAAGGTCAAAATACCGGAAGTGATCAGCATAAACTGCAAAATATAGTTTAAAATCACAGTTTTTGGTTGAATAATACTTGAACTGGAGATTCAAAGTAAAATGCGAAGTCGTTTTACTTATATTAGGGAATGTTGGGCATATAAAACGGACTTAGCCGCTGACTACAAAAGCGGGAGCAAGATGTCCCATATTTCTGGTAATGGTCCACTTCAGCGCTAGAGTTTGGCAAAATTTCACAAATCTTGGACAGCTAACCCCCAGACAGCTCGATTTCAGACAATTGCGTGCAAAAATAAGAAGACTTTTGATATTTCGTTCTATTTCTGTAATTCCCCATTCAATGGTGAAAGAAAATTTGATTGACAATATACCTTTGTATCGTTTGTCCAACATTGCTGGTGGGGGGAGGGACATCTTTACGTTCCTGGATTCCGTTTCGGAGTTTATGAGTGTTTTAACCTCATCTTCCGTGATGGTTAGGAAGTAGGCTGGGTTGTAGTTACCGTTAGGGGTGATGACGAGCTTTTTTACCTTTTTCTTGATGGCGTGCTTGACTAGGATGGGTTCAAGGATTTCCCTCGGTTTTTCCCAGATTTTCCTAAGCTTGTCACCCACCTTCAGTTGGAGTTTGGCGAATTTCTTCTTACCCCTCCACTTACCCTCTGCGATCCTTCGGTTTTCCTCGGCTCGTTTTTCCCGAGCCCTTGCATTCCGCCGCAGTCGCTGGGTTTCCTTCTTCCATTTTTGAGCTTCGGCTTTCCAGTCCGTTACCTCTTTCCGTCGTCTTTTTTCTTCCTTAGCGATGTCGCTCTTCCATTTCTTTGCATCCCTTATTTCCCTTTTCGCGTCGGTCTCGGTTTGCTTCCTTCGTCTCTGGAACTGCCTTGCTGCCGATTTGACTTCCTTTCCGATGATTTTTCTCTTTTCCTTGCTGATCAGTTCGTCGAAGTGGTTGTTAATTTTCCCTTCTATTTCTAGACCTCTCTCCCTGGCCATCTCAAGGACGTTAGTCCTCATTCGTTCAATAGAATCGAATTTTCTGTCCGAAATTGGAATACTTGGATTAAAAGTATTCATTGCTTTTATTATATAGCAAAACTTATCTATAAGGTGGTTTTAAGGTTGATTCTGTTTTTCCAGACCTAAAAGGTTTGAAAGAAGAAATGAATACTTCCACGTTTTTCGGACGATCGGACGTATGGGAGATGCTCTCTTTATTGTATAGCATTTATTTTGGAAAAGTTGATTCTGTTTGCGAGACATATTGTTCACACCTGCGTTCCTGGACTTGGAAACCCCACCAGGTCACTACCTGACAACTCTAGTCAACCTTATCCCATAGGATTTCCTCCGTGTCCTGTTCCTCTTGCATTTCTTTTCCGATACGGTTTACATCATCCCGCTCCGAGTCGACGTAATCCATTTCCAAATTGAAATTCCATCGCAGTTGGTAGTCCATGGATCTCCACGGATCTTCTTCTTCGCGTCCATAGCTTACTTTGCTGGGATAGTCGAGGGAAATCCTGTTTTTTACGGTTCCGATAGTACACCGTCCGATGCAGGTCCTGTATTTGAGTTTGTACATCCTGATGGTTAATACAAAACCCTTTAACCCCCAAACACCATATATCCAATTTACTTTGTAGTTCTTCCCCATCCACCCACTTCCTAGTTTAATCCTATGTCCCGAGATTTTAAGGTTGCGACCGAAGTGTAGTACGTCCTCTACAGAAAATATTATGTCCTTGTAGTCGGCAAGACTTAGCATTTCCTTAACGAAGTCAACAATGTCTGGACGCTCGAAATACATTCTTACGACTTCACCTTTCTTAACGGTGGACATAGTTCCTTTTGTTTATATGTAGGAAGTCTTGTCTATAAACTGTTGATTCTGAATTTGAGATACTTCTGACTAGATTTAAGATTACTCTTGACTAACTTTTGACTAGATTTAAGATTACTCACAAGTTAACTCAGATCTACTTACAAGTTAACTCAAATCTACTTGTAAGTTAACTCAAATCTACTCGTGAGATACTTTTGACTAGATTTAAGTTTACTCTTGACTAGACTTAAAGTTACTCACAAGTTAGTTAAATCCTACTATAAATAAAAGTAACCTTGTCAGAAGTAAATCCAGATACGGCAGCAGTACCCGTCACAAATCCGGTAAAGACCCACGTCAAGGATCCCAGGAGGGTGGAGGCGGGGCGTAGGCTTGCCAAGATTAGTAAGGAAGCGAAAGCAAGGAAGAAAGCACGGCTTGAAACTATCAAGGAAGAGGAGCAGAACGTTCTGATTGAAGAATCCGAAAATGATGGGTCAATAGTCACCTTAGAAAGAGTCGGCTTAGTAGTAGGTATCGCCGTAGGCCTCGGATCCATTTACTTCATGTGGCACAGTAGTCAAGAAAAGGACGAGAAGCCCGAGGAAAGTAGGATTGTAGAGCAGCCGGAACCCGTTGTTATCACACCGAAAGGTCCTGACCTATATGACTGAGTATAATAAAACAATGTCACAACCGTTCCTGAACATACTAACCTTTTCCGTAGCAGCTGGAGTCGTACTGATTTACATCCACACGCTTGAGGTGGAAGAAGACAAATGCAAAGCGAAAGAAGCCGAACGCAAGGAAAGCGAAGACAGGATGCTCGACACCCTGGAAAGAAAATTTTCCCTAATCCTAAAAGAGAAGCTAAAGGATAAATAGTTCTACTATAATAAAAGACATAATGACCGACACGAAGAAGGAAGTGATCAACGAACTGTACGATGCAGCACTATTAACAACCGGAGTCGTTGGGGTATCCTACCTTGCCAGAACGGTTGCCGGAAAAAGCCTGGGTGCACCGATGACCCTGGAAGGAGCGGCAAAGCTTGCCGTTGCCGTGGCCGGAAGTGCATTCACCATAGGGTACCTAAAGGATAAGGGATACATTCCAAAAATGATCGACAAATAAAAGAATGACATCTGTCGTGGTCGGAGGACTCTTTAATGCCGTGGCCTTTGCCGGGGCCGGCTTCCTATTCTCCAAGCTTAATGGACAAGGCTACAGGGAAGAGGTAAAAAGACATAACCAAGCCTTAGAGAAGCTTGCGAAAGCCAAGGAGAAGTTTTACGAATCCGAAGTGAAGCGTAGGCACGACGAGGCAAGGCGGAGGGCCGAGATCCTGGATGCTAACAAGGACATCGAGGAAACAAACAGGGCACTGGAAGACCTGAGGGACTATACGAGGCTTATGGATAATACGGTATCCCAACGCAGACCTAAATTGGAGGACTACTACCAACCATCGGACGAGATGAAAAGATACGCAGTGTTGACAGTGGGTATACTGGGTGTTGGCGGTGCTTACGGATTAACACGAATATTTTAAATCCTACCATTTGGATTTAAAACTTTTATGTTGTCATGAGGAAGCAGCTTATGGTTGTAGTTCCTGTTCTGTTGGTTACATTTCCGGAATAGTCTACATCCTTGGATTCTAGACCAAAAATTTGTAGCATAGAATTTGTTGTATCGCCAGTAACGAAAAATGTAAACGAGACCTGTATAATCCTACTGCTCTGATCACGCGTAAACATGACGACGGTTCCTGCACTTCCCACGTAAAACTCGTACAGGGTGGAGGATGTTGCCGTGTTACTTCCGTCACTAACATTAAACCTGATGAATTTTGCGTTCCCTTTATCCGCATCGGAAATATTAGAAGTTTGAAGAAATCCGGGTGGATACCCAGGTGTTTGTGTAAAATCGTACTGTACATAATTTTTCCCGAGGTTATTTAATTTTACAATCTCGTCCGTATTTTTGGTAACTTCTGCCGTGTTTCCCTGCTGTCCCTTTTCGACTACTGCTAATTTACGTTTTAAGATATCTAGGTCCTCTGCTGTTGTATCAAAGTAATCGTACCCGAGTAGGATGCTCATTTTATATAACGTCGAAATACTAGGTATGCAAGTCCAAAGGATGCTACTGCCGCCATCCCAAGAGCCATATTTTGGGTATCAGACTTCTGCCTTAGTTCTGGGGGTTTAAAGTCCTCCACGGTTGGGGCTGGTGTAATGTCATGGCTTTCGTCTATGCTGGAAACTGGTGTAATGTCATGGCTTTCATCACTATTATTCGTAGGGGTAGAAACAGGATTACTCGTATAATTCACCTTCTCATTCTTCCCAAACGTCATCCCGTTTTTAGCTACCGTCAGAACATTGCTGAATCCTGGAATAGGTTTCACTAAGATTCTCAGGTCGGAGGGGATTAGGATTAAACCCGGCATGATCGCAAAATTTAGGACGACATGGGTGTTAGCAATAGCCGTCCTCATGTCGGAGATGGTAACTGTCACATCGTCTTGTACAATTGTATCTTTTACCACCTTACGAAAAACCTCTTGTTTCTGCAAACTTTTTGCACCCTGACCCGTGATACTCCATCGGGTTTTAGCCTGTGCTCCCAGGACGGAATACACAAATGCTTCGATAGACTGCTGGAATAATTTTTGTCCAACTTTGGTAAGTCCCCGGGATGTTTTGGGAATGAGGGTTTTATAATCATTTTCAACGTCAAAGGGTGATCTACCAGTCAGGTATTCATGTTCGATAATGTGCCCCCGTATTTGGTCTGATGATACTTCTGACGCCGTATTCTTTTCTGTTCACTCACGGGTAAGCCGTAATACCATGTTCCAAGGTTTGCGTGGGAAGCGACGGTCCTCCTAACCCATGTCTCACGTACGGGTGTATACTTTCTGATGGTTCTCTTATCATCACTTGTAAGGTACTGGTCTAATAGATTGGGGTTACGCATGAATCTCGATAGGTGGAAATGGAGGTGGAAACGAACAATGGAGGTTACTATGTTGGAGTGTGAATTGGGAAAATTGTTCGTAAGGTGATCCTCGGAAATACCGGACTTAAACATAGCAACATAACATGCCGCTAGGGAACAAAAGTAGGAACTGGAATGGTAATCAAAGGGTAAAGTGTTGATGAAGGTTCCGGAGGGTTTGTTGTACGATGGTTTAACGGGCTCCAATTTTGTCAGGAAATTCTCGGTCTCCGTAACATAGACCTTAAAGGTATGCACATCCATCTTGAAATCCTTATTTGGCCGAAAAATCGCATCCGGTCGAACACTACGCCACCCTTCTACCCAGTACAAGTACTTGGTCCACTCCGGATCCTTGCGAAATGTGTCGGACGTAATATCATAGCTTGTGAGGTCATCCACTTTATAGAAGATGTCTCTGGACTCCACGGTTCCATCCTTGGCAAAGGTAACCTCAAAGTCGAACTTGGCTAGGACTGCATTGGGATATTGTTTCACGAAGTTTGTCTTCATTTTCCGTATTTCAACGGGTACCGCCGCCTTAACCTTCTCGTAATTCTTTCCGTAGTAGTTCCGAAAGATTTCCTCACTCATCCTTTTATTTGATGTAAAGTTCTAACAAGACATCTCCAGGGATGATTCCGGTATTAGATCCAATCTCAAACCGGATTTCGCTGTATTTACCAGCATCCACCCGTACTTGGCTTTCGATGTCGTTGTATTTCGTCGTGGTCCAAAGAGAGGTCTTGTTCCATCGATGGGAAGGGAAGTGATGACGGTACTCCTATTTCCATACGGTCCGATGTTATGCTCGCGATTCACAAGGTTACAACTGACTGTGAGGTGCCGCAAGCCTTCGTGTATGTCTATGGGACGATCGCTAATGTGTGGTGTGTATGTAGGACCATTGAAGGACCGGTAACCCAGAATACTCGTGAGATTCCGGAGTCCTGCGGAATTTGTTCCCTTAGCAAAGTCGATCCTTATACTTCCATCGGGATATTCCCTAAGTGTCAACCCGTTTTCCTCCAGCTCTTTCCTAAGCTGTTTAAAGGTCCAATACCCTTCGTCTATCATTACCTTCTTCCCATCTACGGAAATGTAGTCATTAAACCCCTTGCGAATATTCTTATAATTCCAGAACATGGCAGCAGTCTTTACGTAAAGTTCGGATCCGTGGGTAAGGATTAGTGGATCCTGTAAATCCAGGGTAACCCCTCCGTCTTCAACATAGACCGTTATCTTGTTCATGTTTTATTTATAGATAATAAAATAGACTTACCATTAGATGTAGCTCTACGGGAAATATATTTTAACGTTAACGGTGGGTACATGTCGATGGAAAAATTATACCAGAGTGCAAAGGAGGAGGGTATAGAGGGAGTAAGCCGGAAAAACGTTAAGGAATGGTTACAGACACAAAATACCTACATCATCCATAAACCGTCCCGAAAACATTACAAGACCCAAAGGACCTATGTGGACGGACTTGCACAGCAAATTCAAATGGACCTTGTGGATATGAATAAGTTCAGTCACGGGAATAAGGGAAACCGCTGGATCCTAACTGTCATAGAGGTCCTAAGCCGGTATGCTTTTGCCGTTCCGGTATGGAGGAAAAATACCGAAAGCATGACGAAGGCTGTCGAAAGTGTGCTCGTACAATTTAAGGAAAGATTCGGTAGGTATCCCAAAACGGCACAGTTTGACGACGGAAAGCAATTTTACAATGTAGGAGTAAAGACGTTGCCAAAAGATCACAATGTTCACTACTTTTCCACATGGTCCTTCCGGAAAGCCACAATCGTCGAACGATTTAATAGGACCCTAAAAACAAGGATGTGGAAATACTTTACGGAAAACAGGACGAAAGTTTGAGTGGACATCCTACCTGCTCTCGTTAGATCCTATAATAATTCCACACACAGGACAATAGGAATGAAACCGGCGGATGTGAATGAGGAAAACAAGGACGAAGTTTGGACAAGAATCTACGGATATCCACTAAGCAGTTTTCCGGATCCTAAATTTAAGGTTGGGGATCATGCTAGGGTGGAAATAAAGCACAAGACCTTCGAGAAGGGATACGAACCCAATTTTGAAAACGAAGTATACGTCGTTACAGCGGTGTTCCGGGGAGATCCGAACATGTACAGCCTTAAGGATCCGGAGGATGGGGAGGATATTTTGGGAAGGTATTACGAACAGGAATTATCCTTAGACTTAAATAAAGATGGACACCATAGAGATGAATGATCTCAACCGACCGAAAGGGGCCGAAGGGGGTGAGGACGAAACAGTTATTGATGATACACCTACTGACGAGGATGATTTCCTTTCAGGAGTAGACGACGATCAAAGACTAGACGATGTAAGAACCTCCAGTTTCCGAGAGGAGAACAAAAACGATCCCTACAGGAAAAGGAAGAGACAGTTAGACAGACTGAGCACCAATGGAAAATTCGACGACATGAAGATAGAATACGTCAGAAGTCTTTTCGGAACTGAGTATCGAATAGATCCGACCGACGGACGAAACTCTCAGGAATTTATATCCAGTTTAGACATCACCAAAAACAAGTTGACATTTAACGGGGCTGATGTCGCTTACATTGATACGATTGGTACCTACAGAATGACCGGGAATGAAAAGGCTACCGCATCATCAAGAAGATTCCTTAATCTGTACGAAAAATCACTCGCCGAACACAGGGAAAGAGCCAAAAGTGTAGTCGAAGAGGAAACCGGAGGAGAAGCATCGGGAGTAAACGCGGAAGAGATTTTCGAAGACGCCGAGGAGGAATTCCGTCAGGAAGTCATCCACGCAAACGACAACCTCGTGGAACACGCAAGGGAGTTAAAGGAAAGTGGAAAAATAACCGAACAGGAGAGGAGGGAATTTGCGGGAGTCACCGTTCCCAAAGGACCCCCCGAAGTCAGGATTAAAGCCTTAAGGGAACAGAAGAAAGTATTCGAAACCAATATAGAACTAGAAACAGATCTCGAAAGACGACAGATTATGCAAGAGGTAGGGATGTTGCCGAACGGGGTATAGATAACGCCAACCTAGAGATGGGTCGGCAACCCGAAACGGAGGAGGGAAAACATAGGTATAGGGAAATAGTAAGAGAAAATATCAAGACAAAATTCGAAAGATTCCGAAAATGGGCAAGGGAAAACCTAGGTGCAATAGCTGCCATTGCCATTTCCATCGCAGGAATCATTACCACGGTTGTGGTGGCAGGAAAGAAAACCATCGTAGGAGCCTCCAAAGGGTTGGGAGCCGTAGGAAAAGCACTGGCCGGACTTGCAAAATCCGCACTACCAATCCTAGTACCTATCCTAAATTTACTGAGTACTATCCTAAGCTGGGGAGCTAAAGGTCTTGCCTTCCTTGCCCAGAACCTGTGGATCGTAGCAGTCGTCATTGCCGGAGCCATATACAAGTACCTACAAATGAAACGGAGGAAATAAAGTTATACTATAATAAAAACATAATGGACCGAACAACTGAACTTATGCCCAGCTTCCGACGCATGAATAGGACGGAAATTACTGGGGATAGGACAAGACATGTTCTAACCTTCAACCCCAATTCTGCCAAACCCGGAGAAGAAATCTACGTCAACATCCCAAAGCTAAAAGCCGACTCCGTTCTCGTACCGGATAGTATGGCTTTAGTTTTCGACTTTAAAAACAGTAATACAAAATCCTGGTTCAGGAACAACCTAGGAAAACTGCTCCAGAAGAGACTGGAAATCCAACTTGCTGGTGAAAAGGTCTACGACAACAGTCGGGAAAGCCTACTGGAAGTTTACAAGGACCTATGGCTACACAACAAACAGCGTGATCATATGGTAGAGGACGGCATTGCTAGTGAAGCCACGAGGAAGAAGATATCTAAGGACGACGCCGCAAACGATGATGTAGAGGCTACCACACTGTTCGGTGTATTCGGAACGAAACAGAAGATCAGGATCAACAAGATCCTCAAAGATCACGGACTTTATGCCCCACACAACATGGCAAACGACCTACAATACGTGATCACCCTACCTACAGCGGTCGAAATCATGAACGCCCAAAGTGGGGAATCTGTGGAAGGATACACCCAGGAGAACATCGAACTGGAATACGAGTCCATCGATAACATCGATCTCGCAAGGAAAGCCGAGTGTCTGTACGGATCAGAACGCGAGTTATCCTTCGAACACGTTACCCTAATGAAGAAGACGGAATGGAGGAAAGATTCCACCATCATCAACGAAACGATCAACGTACCACGCAGAAGTATGAAAGCCATCGTCATGCTATTCGAGAACAAGACGAAGACAGACAGCGAGGAATACATCTACCCCAACATCGAAAAGGTTAGGGTAACCGTAGAAGGTGTTCCCAATGCAGTCTATAGTCAGGGTATCCCAAAACAAAAAAAAACAAGGTTATACGAGGAGGCAAGGCGACTGTTCGGTACCGACGAAATCAGTCACCAGACACTAACCGGATTCTTCAAAGACAAGAAATTCGCACTGGTCATCGACCTCAGAACCGTAAGCGACGCTAGGACATATGGAAACGATGCTAAAATCCAGAACACCCAGTCCGGAATATTAGTGGAAATCACAAAGAAAGCCACAACCGCAAACGTTATATGTTACCTGTTCGTCCTTTCCGACGGTGTTATCAAGATCACAAACGGACAACTTGCTGGAATAAGATATTAAATTATTTACAAACTATAGTTTTTTCATACCCAACAGGGTCTGAAAATATTTATGCCCGATCATCGGTCTCCGCTCCTTCCTCAGAAGGCGGTTGTTCGGGGGTCCTACGATAGACATGCTTTACCTTCGTTACTCCACCGCTAACAATACCCAGGTAGGGTATGTATGTGGACAGCTTTGCCACTACACTTTTAACATCACTCTTAAACAGTTTATTCTGAATTTATATTTATGAAAGAATTTATAAAATTCAAAAACTTTTCCAACTTTTCAATGCCATGCAACCAAATAAAAAATATATCATCCAAAAACCTCCACCATTCCCATGGTTTAAATTCGCATTCTTTTAGCATCCTTGCTTCCAAGACATACATAAATATATTGGCATAGGCCGGGGCAAATTTTGTCCCAATAGCTGTTCCCTGTTTTTGCCAATATATTTCTCTGTCAAACTCGAAATAATTATTTTCCAAAATCAAAGTAGCCATTTCAATCAAATTAACCCCATCCACATACCACTCATTAACATTAATCATCTCTTTAAATTCGCTCAAAACTTTTTTCATACTATCCAAGCCGTCTTTGTGAGGTATATGTGGATAGAGTCCAACTACAACTATTGTCCCAAAAATAGCTCCCTCCGGTATATGCCCTAACTCATCCAATCTCCTAAGAAAATCCGAAGTATCACTTAAAACAGTGGGCAAAATATATATATATATATATATATATATATATATATATATATATATATATATATATACATACGAAGGTCGCGGTTTTCGAACAATGGCAGAAGACAGGACATTAAACACAATTACGATATAATATATTACAAGACACACTTATGAGTCAGGCAAATGGTAGAATATAATGTTGATACTTAATATTCACATATGCTACTTTAATTATTTTCGTTATCATATAGTGACTAGTACTGATCATTTGACTTTTAAATTTCTTCTTACTTTTTTTTACGTTAAGAATTTTTAGGGACTCTTCAATTGAATTCCAAATTTTTGGTCCGCGAAATCTAATATTAAAAATTCCATAATTTGTACGGGGTAAAGGTAGCGCATATGTCATTACTTTTGACGCCAACCTGGTATAATGCGCATGGATACATATAATTTCACTGAAAAAGTGGTCAAAGTCAACCGAGAGCAAGCCATTACAAAAACCGAGCATGAAAATACCAGTGTGCAACATTGATATATATATATATATATATATATATATATATATATATATATATATATATATATATATATATATATATATATATATATATATATATATATATATATATATATATATATATATATACAGGGTTTATCAAAATAAATGCAATTGATTTTTGTGCTTAATAACTTTCGAAATACTATTTCTAGTTAAACGCTTTTAGGCTTACTTCAAAGCCTGTTCTTTTCTCTTTCAAACAAACTATTATCCTTGTCTCCAATGCTAGTAATAATTGCACAGGAAAAGATTTAGAAAAAATCTATCATTTTTAGTTGCTGTTTAATTATGCAAGTTTACTATGTTATTGTTTAGTCGGTTTAAATGTTAGAATTTTCTTCTTTAAACTTTAATGTTGTCGTCACTACATCTGGAAAACCATGTAAGAACAAATTAAAAGTATTTTAAAAGAGACCAGGTTGTTTGAAAATCCTAAACGAATGCCAAAAATCGTCAAAACATTCTGGTGTCTGAGCCAGACTGTCATCGAATTGCGATGTAATGTAAACAGAAATTATAGCAAGTTGATGTCAATCAGCTTAGATGGTCCAAGCCAAAATTAATCGCATTTGAAATTTCAAACTGAGTTAAAAATAGTGGAAGAAAAGCCGTAATTATACTTATTGTTACAATCCATTTAATAAAATGCAACACTTTTTTGTTTTAATGAAAAAATCAGTTATCTTCATGAGAACGATTTGTTATTCCATCTCAATTTTTTTAATCTCCAATCGCAATAACGTAAAGTATTATTACCCGCGAACCAATGAGTCAAATTTTAGAAACAACCCACAGTTAGAAAGCTGAATGGCTACGCTTTAAAATGAATGTAAACTTTAACGTTTTCGTCTATTATTTGTTTAGCAATTTACATTTCAGTCGCGGATTGCGCTTTTTTTGATACACCCTGTATATATATATATATATATATATATTTATATCTTAAAATTAATTATTGCTACTCAAGTTTCACGCCTTATTCATCGTCTTGAATAAGGCGTGAAACTTGAGTAGCAATAATTGATTTTAAGATATAAATATATCTTGCTCTACTTTTGTATTAGTGTTGAGCACTTTATTATCTACTACAACAAAACAAATTATATATATATATATATATATATATATATATATATATATATATATATATATATATATATATATATATATATATATATATATATATATATATATATAT